GCACCCACTGTGTCTAAAAGCAGTGCTAATAAGAAACAACTGGTGCTCCGCATACAGTTGTAGCAGACGTCCGACGTTTTCAGTCTGTTCGGAGTTAAGCCCATGATTTCCACCCAGCTGAGCTTCTGTGGAGCTCAGACGCCCTACTTGTGCGTTCATATCCCCTGCAAGTACTATAATATCTGAACTAGTAGCACTGCGTAGTAGCGCGTTCATTTCGTGATAGAATATGTCCTGGACAGATGAACTATCAGTGATGGTTGGTTATCTAATGTCATTTGGTAAACAAAATAATTGCTTGTACACATTAGGGTCACCCGGGTATTGTTCAGACCAAAAACCGAGCGAAACACTACTTTTAGTGGGCACGAGTGGCATCTAGCGTCGATACATTTGTGATGAACTGTAACGCTTGCTGCCTAGCGGACAAAACTTACATGCCAGTTGAAGCCCCAATACAGTCTATTACTTACTCGATGAAACTGTAGGCTAAGGTCGTCATTGATAGTATGGGTCCTTTTCCCACCACTTCTTCCAATAAGAGAACCCTACTTGTTGCTACATGTTTTACAGTAAGTGGCCTGAAGTCCGCATGTGCGGCCAAGTGGCTACTTCCGTTGTGTTACGCTGGTTTAAATACTTGTTCAGTCGTTTCCGACTACCGGAAGAAATAATCACGTACAGTGGACCACAATTTTACAGTCACACCTTTGCAATTCCCCCTCCCCCCAGTGCCATAAGATAAAACATACCAGAACCGCACCTTGCAATCCTGCAGTCAATGGCATGGTCGAGCGGCTGGCGAAAATACAGCAACTCTCTTCTCATTGGTTGTGTAAAACCCCGACGAATAAAATTGAGTATTCCGTATGTTGCGTCTGTTACCCGTTGACTGAGTATGGATACACGTCCTGCTTTTTTCTGTTGCCTTCTTGATACAGCAGCTTTGACAACAATTTCGCCCGTTTTCCTTGTCAAGTCCTAGCTTCTTTGTTTGATAATGTTACTACAATATTACGATATTCTGACCCTTAACTTCATTTTAACGGAGAGATCGTTGACTTGGGTTTTTTCCTTTACCATATTTATTCGTCTTAGTCCTCAGCTGTCTCCAGCCCTTTACTCTGCCATGCCTAGTCTGTTTGCTTGCATTTATGGCTTCGGTGCTCTTACTCATTCTTTGCCTTCTTTTTCTCTATTCTTTTGTTTTGCTGCTTCCGCCTGCATGCGCACCGCGTCATGCACATTACCCCTCTTTGGCGAGGTGCACCGGCCGACCCTCAAATCGATGAACAAGCTGGTCCGGGTAAGTATAAGAAAATGCCTACGACTCCCCAAGGACACCAGCGTTGCTTTCTTTCACGCATCAATGGAGGATTATGGCCTAGGAGTTTCGTGCCTTTGTATTATGATCCCATTGCTTCGGTAGGACCACTTAGAAAGCTTTCACTCCTTCACCTGATTACCAACCGGGGAATACAAGAACCGTCAGTGGCTGTCATCCAATGCACTGCCACGAAACCCGTGACCACTGGGAATCAAGTCGTCTTTGACAAAAGTTACGCGTAGGAAGCATGGGAGAGCTCACTGCTGCAATCTGTGGACTGATCCTTGCTTCGGGGGTAATTACGAGGCTATCCTCGCACAACTGGATAAGAAACCCCAAGAGAATATTCTCCCGACTCTACCTCAGAAAAACCCAACTTCGAACAGGTGTGCTGTCGACGGAATCCCGATGCTCCAGGGGACGATAACACTCAAACCCAACCGGTCTTCACTGCCGGGGCGCATTCGCACAAAACACAACACTTTCTCACGCCCTGCAATCTTGTGCAGTAACGCTCGATGCTCGCTGTAACAGGCACAACGATATCGTGAAGCAACTAACCAACACCTTTTGTCGCAACGGGGCCCAAATCATCCCGGAGCCCCGCATCTCGCCGGCATCAACGTACATCAAGCCGAATTTGATTGCCACCGAAACTCCACAGAACACGTAATTGACGTGACAGTATGCGACACTTACAAAATGACTCCTAGTTACCAATTAAAAATTGACTAATACGGTGTAGGAGCTCATGCGGAAGGCATAGCCCCCTTTGAACGCTCGGGATTTTCTACCGTACTAAATATCGTTCATCATCCGATGATCATCAACAACCGGGGTCATATATTCCCACTCACCGCCAAGCACATTTCGACACTGGGGCTCACCGAACTCGAGATATTTGACTTTAGTTTGTCCACTATGCGAGGGACGCAATGTCACAGAACTGACAACGCACACTCACACATTCACAAGTGGCCCCGATCAATTCTTTTTTGCTTTTAAAATGTTTACTGTTTCAGTATTACGCCAGGATATTTGTCCAATCTAGGCGAATTTGTGTAATACTCTGGCCTTTGGCCGTGCATGAATTTGCCGAAAAGCTATGTTCATGGACCGTGTTTCGCATTGAAGTGGACCTCGGTCAATTCGATCACTGGGACCGTAACTGGTGGTTCAGATGGATTTTACGTATTGATTGTCCAAAAACACTGCACTCCACGAATTCACTCTACCTCAACAGGTTGACATAGCAGGTCTTTTGGATAGCAGGTGAGACAGCTAGCCATTAGTTACCGAGTCCCGGAGGACATTGGTTGTCACAACAAATGTCACTTTTGCATTCAAGATTGCAAAGATGCCTTAAATCTGTCGAAGTAATTTGGACAACTTCAAAAAATCTCTTTTGACTTCAAAGTCAATCGGTGTATGAAGGACGCATTCACCGTTGTTTATACTGTTCAAAATGCGACACATTCATCAGATGTCCTGAAAGAGTTCCACTCCGTGCTCGAAATCTCGATTGAAAACGGACCATTGGGACTCATTTCCTCAGTGTTCATTTCTGTGGGTATCCAGATGTTTCACTCGTTTGGTCTGTGAACAAAAGCAGGTATACATAGGATAATATGTCAAATTTAATTGTTTCTGCCTCGAGATCGCTAACTTTGCCCTCAGGAAGCAACCGAAATTAGATGAAGCACATCGCTCCAACACTACGGAAAAGTGGGTACCTCGGTTAGCTAGTAGTTGGACGATTTTTCTAAAAAAAATTAGTCAGTGCACTGTAGTTCGATACCGTGTCCACCAAACTATAGCGCAGCGTCACTACGAAGCCCAGCTAACGTTATTATCTCAAGCCGGGAGGTTGCTGTATAAACCCAACGTGCTGTATAACCCAACATGAACAAAGTGTAATCCCAGGTTACAGTTCGATGCATCTGCCTCTTCCACTTCAGTTGCGGTAACCAATAGACTGGTTGATCTGAGAAGTGGCTATCTGTAACTATCTTGGAATACATGCTACACGAACTTGTCGCATATGATCCGGGGCTACCCACCAGTTCGGATTCCCGATGCATCCCCCGCTACCCTGTGTATCTAAACAGTTCCCGCCCCCTGTGTCGCACTCCCTTCTGAAGGATGCGCTTTCGCTCGATGTACTCTATCAGTCTTCTTCAACTTATCCGTAAATGTGCAAAGATTTGGCTAGTCATTCAAAAGAGTTAAGTACTACTTAGGGGGTTAGCTCCTCTAGCGGTTGTCGAGAATGTGTTTTGTTTGCACTCCGACGTTTAATGCACATCTAAGTCGGCTGTCTGGTCATGCACCAATTGAAACTGTGCCTTGTACAATCTGTTTTCGTGCTAAAAGAATCTGTCGCTCTATATCTCCTTTACGAATAAATACTAGCAAAACATTTTGGTGTCCCGGCGGTTCTGAATCGGATGAATATTTTAACCCAATAAATTTGCACTTGTGTTCGGCCTCCTTGGAACCCGTTCTCGATCTGCTTGTGTCTTGTCCGTTCACAGTTGATCGACCATTATCACCACCGGCAAGATGGCCTTCTATGTAAACTTCGGCGCACGGTTGCGGCTCCCGCATTTGCACGATCTCCACCAAGTGAGTACCCAGTATTTTGCAGTTTCTCTGTCCTAGCTAAATTGAGAGTACGCTCTGCTTGTTGCCACCAGCCAGTTAAAATGTCATTTTGAACGCTTGGTAATTGGAATCTAATGCCAAGAGAGCTACTTATTCATCGGACATGCCATGCCGTTTGCTGTTTCCGCTCATTGATCCAACTACCTTGGTAACATGCACCCCCTGTGCATGATGTCTTCTCTCATTACAACTGTTACTGTGCCGAAGGTTGTAAATCAAACCGCGTTAGCGCACTACTGTGCGACTGTCAGTTCCTCGCCATCAATCTAATTTACATTTGTGTGCGTCTATCTGCAACGTTTCGATAGCCTGTTATGGAATTACGCAAACTCTGTTAACTACGTTAGGTTTTGAGATAAGACAGCTGTCACTGCATAGCTAATCTTTTAGGGTGAATCTTTTTCGGACAGATTGCGCGCCTATCAGCATTCCCATATTTTTTCACATTTTCATGCAGCTGCCTTCATTTTACACCTGTACTTTAACTCGACGAGGGGCTGCGCACGTTCAATCATTGGCTCCATCTGGTTAACTGACCATTTCTTCGGAGAATTTTTGTTATTTGAACCCAAAAATATCATCCATCTGAAACCATTCTTCGCATAACTTTGTAACTCTATTTGACCCGAACAAGTTGCTGTCTGTTGGCTTACTTCGGAATATTGTCAGAACGTGTTACCTTCTGGCTGACGCAGGGGATCTGCCTATCAGGCCGTTGTTAATAATCTTGGTATTATTATCGCGGCATAACGGCATCGAAAACCTATCGGAGAGCCGCGGAAAGTTCCGTTACGGCACTACCGGTTCAGAACGTGTACGGTTTACTTGTCTGATGTGTACACAAGGGAAGTGTGGTTTTCCCATCTATCCTTGATGTCGTTTACTGGAAGAGGAGCTAGTACTAGTTTGAATACAACCAGTTCCGTCCTGTTAGTAACTTATCACACATATGCATACACTGCTCCCTTCGTACTCGTGTTTCTTTTTTACTTTCTTCTTCGAAGGCTCAATGTCTGCACTTCACTTGATGGATTCCTCGGTAGGTTACACGCACTATTTGGTTTCATTGTTACAATTTCGAACAAGTTACTTGTTCTGAACTGGTTCCATTCAGGAAACTCTCATCTCTACAAATACGTATGAATTAGTGTTGTGCCTCCGTATTTGTCCTATTCCTCTCGTTTCACCCTTGACGAATTCTTCTCCCTGCTTCGTCACTCATGTGCATGCAGTATTGCGACTTTTTTCACAACGCAGGTAGCAACAACTTGCCCTCATTTTATCTACATGGGCGGTCGCAGCGGTTAAGTTAGAAATTTACTTCGTTTGACACAACAGACGGATTATCTTCATTGATAGTTGTTGCACTCGGATGCAACGTTTCGGTGACTCATTGTTACCCCCATCCCCCTGCTACTCTCACCAGTAGTGAGGATTGCATACATTGGGCGGCGTTGGGCGTGCCTTTAGTCTAATGCTCATATGGACAAGCTCTGTTGCTCAGACTTATTCCACTAGTCTTGATGCGGTGCGCGTCCTGATGGACGCGAACTCAAGGTACAAGCTTCCGGCGCATATCAGCATCTTTCTAGGACGTTTCTTGCACCCCGTTCTCCTTTAGCTACCGCTGCCCCGTGTCGAGGACACTGGAGTCCAGACGAGCCTGGCCGCGGGAGTGAATGAATGGAACAGATCCCAGTCGCCCAAAGCGGTTTCCTCAACTCCTCTTGTCTCCATAGGTACCCATTCGGAGTCGGAATCACCCAAAACCGAGATACGACAAGATCTGATTTCATTTGCCGATTGGCCAAACGTGACACGCCTTCTGTCTAGTTCCCTGAACAAGCAACAGGTAAGCTCCACATATCACTGTCCAAGTACATTTCGATTTCTGTCCCAATTCCACCCAACGAGCCACGAGAAACGAGGGGAAGATGTGAAGTTTTGTTTTAACAGTAGATACTTCGGTGTTTGTACTCTACCTCATCGCTCAAGATACTGTTTTAAGGCTAACTGATCTCATGACACTTGTTCCCGTTTGTTTGAAACACGAACACACTATACACTAACTTAAAGGAACAATGAACTTGCTAATAACCGTGGAACCACTTTGTTGTGATAGTTGAGGTCAAACTGAGTGTCGTGCACGGAGAGCGTATAAATACTATTTCCGGTTGCCTCCATTGCACTGTTTAATTCAAGAGATAACTAGCGTGCACATTGCTTCCGCGTCACTTGGGTGGAGTCGGGGAAAACAGTGGTTATCGAGATCCGATTATCAGTAGAATGACTGCGTTTCGTTGTTGCAGGATAAAAGTTCGCATTCCGCAAAATGCGCGGTGCGCAAAATGCACCGACAGAATCCAGATTAGCAACTGACTGTTGGCCAACCGATAAGCTGCATTTAATCGTCCTCCCGATGCTGTTGTCAGTGACTGTGGGGTGCACATCACGCGATGCACCATGTGCGATCCATAGGATAAAACGTTTACGCTTCTCATATGGCTGCTCTTCACCATAGCAACCGAAGAAGTCATCGATATTATGCATATCATCGACATGCTATCCCCACGAAGAGATAACAGTCAGTACTGGGGATTCATGCCTGAGCACGTCTGCGGTATAATGTTGGCAGCTTTGCGCGATCAGTAAACATCGCGGGTTCGAGCCCTACCAGGGGTCCGATGGAATGCGCACTGCTGATGATTCCCGAAAGGATGAAACGCGCGTACAGTGCTTTTCCGGGATGGTGACGGCTGTCTGAGTGAGTCTAGATGTGACGAAATTCTACCCACACCATTCAACTCCCCCTACTACTCTTCTCTAAACATCACTTCGTTAATATTATTGCCATTTTCAAAAGAGTTGGTCCATTTCCCGAACGCACGAGAAACTATGTTCATACTTTGGACAAATAGTTTTGTATGACAGTTACCACCATATCCTTCCGGTAAACGTGTTGTGTTGTACTCGCGATTGCTTTCACTCGCTAACAATAGTGAGAACACGAACGAAAAAGAAGAGGATTCAAGGTACTTTTCTTGGGTAACCGACATTGTTTAGGTAGCATGACACGTAACTGTAACAACCATACAAAATACGGAAATCGTGTTACCTGATAAAGCCAATAAAGACCAAACAAACAAAGAACAAATCAGATGCACACACGCAAAGGAAATTGATGGTGCTAGCGTCAGAGTGACTCTGTGATCCGGCACCAGAAACCACGACAATAAACAACCGATAGCGCGGACGAAATTACACGTTAAGACAAGCGGCACGGAATGCGCACAACAAAACGAAAGTCGGCAAATATGGATGTGTGCGTAAGCATATCTCGCTCCTATCACATGATTCTATTTCTGTAAACATGACCCTGCCACGCTGTGAGATTCACTGAACTACAGTTAATTTGGGAATATAATAGCTCTATATATAATGTTCAACATATATATATATATGTTCAACATGTTTTTGAACTAGGCCTTTTATTCAGGTCCCTGTGGTGTGAAAGTTGCCTCTCAAAGATTTCATACCCTCAAAGCAAAGCGGTTTCATTTGGCTGTCATCATAATGGGGAGTTTCAAGTGGCACAACCAATACCACGCCAGGTGCGGTCAACTGGTCTGACTGCCGCAAAAACGCCCCTAGCGGATTCGTGTTACAATAGTGTGAGTAACTAATGCCTAACAATTATCCGGTGCACTATCACGAGACACTTGGAAAATTACCAAAATGTATTTCTCTTTGGAAGGCCTGACTAGCTGATCGACTTCCTTTATGGCTAACTGTCAGACTTTTGCTTGTCTTGACCTCCACAGCACCATCAACGCCGTTGCGCCTTGTTAAGGAAACGTACCCAGAAGACATGTTCTGCTGTGTGTTGGCGATGACTGGTTTTCTGACCATCCTTCTCTAGCTTGCTGCGAAAATCATCCACTTTACACGTATATATATGGTTGGCAGCATCCGGTTCCTGATTTGCCTGTCATTGTGACCTCCACAGGGACAGCCACAAGATGCATGTGCCTACAGAGGGACCATGGGTGGCTTGCGCTGCACCACCCACAGCTCCATCCACAAACTCCATATCCAGTGTTAACCCGAAGGAATAAGATCGAGAGGCATGCGGATGGGAGCCAGGTTCCTTCAAGGGAGCTGGCGCACACTCCTTCCCAGGCAAACACACTGTATTTTGGGAATCAGGCGCACACACGACGGTGAATAGACCGTAGTCCGCTCCACACTGAGTGCATGGAACCACTCTTCGAGCCTAGCACGACCACGAGGACCGTGCCGACCTCAATGACCAAACCTTCGACCCCGGACAGATGTCGAAAGACGTCAACAAGGAACACTCTCTTGCGAAAAAGCAAACGAGGTACATAGAGACCATTTCATTAATTTTTAAGATCCTCCTACACAATGATCTTGAAACTATAAATATGTAAACCTGTCATTGGTTGGAGCAAGGTCACGACCATGAGACAAGCGAATCATCTTCTAGCAGGCATGTTGAACGATCTGTCCGATCGATTTCATTAAGGTCTGCGTCCCCTAACATTTCCCCCTTTTGAATGAATCGCATAAGATTTTAGCTTGGGGTTCACTTGCATCGGAATCACTAGCTTCCGGCGTCTATCCGTCCATCTTCTTGGTGCTAACTCCGGTAAAGTTGTTGAAACTGAAGTTTGCTTTTCGGGTTTGGAGTCTTCTTGGCTGATACGGAATGTGTCAAGGACCAAGCCCAACGGTAACATACTGCGTGTTGGTGATGCATCCAGAAAGGAACGGGATTGTAACTGATTGGCGTGTCGGACCCAAACGTCGGAATTAACAGCAACGTCATACGTGACATCTCCAGTTCGGCGAACGATACGTCCTGGAGTACAAGTAACCTGGTTGCTGCGGTAGTCCTTTGCCAGCACAGATTGCCTTTTGAAGAAAACTCGGTTCTGAGCACCGTGCCTCCTGTTAAACTGCTGTTCCCTTTCGCAGTTTTGGTTCAGACCGTTCCTGTCAGGTGGTTTAAGCAAATCAATGCTGGATCGCAGTTTCCGTTGCATCAGCGCTTCAGCCGGAGATTTACTTTAAGGCAACTGTGCATTTGGAGTTATCCTGTAGACAAAGAAAAAAGTCTCAAGGACCTCGGCCTTCGGTCCCTCCCCTTCGCTTTTAGTAATGCTCTCTTGAAGGTGTCCACGAAGCGCTCTGCTAGGCCGTTCGACCGTGGATGCTATGGAGGTGACTTCATGTGGGCTATGTGGTTTTCGTTTCAGAAGACCTCGAAAGTCGCTGAAGTGAACTGAGTTACGTCCTTAGTCATTAATGTGTCTGGATACCCAAAGCGACTGAAAACCAAACGAAATGTAGTACTGGTTGCTGAAGGTATGGAGTTGACCTCATATGAGTTATGCCCTTTTTGTTGCAGATGTCCTCAAAAATCGCTGAATTGAACTGAGTTGCGTTGTCAGTCACTAATGTGAGAGGGTTGATGTTTTCTCCGAGCTGGGTAATTTTGTTGCAGACGTTTCATTGCCAAGCTAGGCAACATCCTCAGTGTGGCTATTAGAGTCCGATTCGCAGAGCTTCGTAAGCCACTGCCAGATCCAGGACCCTAATAGCCGCACTGAGGATGTTGCCTAGCTTGGCAATGAAACGTCTGCAACAAAATTACCCAGCTCGGAGAACACATCAACCCTCTCATCCACACCTCGAGATATACAGGTATTCCCGATGATTTCCAGTCACTAATGTGTACGGATACATGAAACGACTGCAAACCTGACGAAGTGCACTTAATGATCGCTGAAGCAGTAGTCGATGGCATGTGCAGTACCTCTGGCCACTTACTGTAGGGCTCAACCAGGACAAGGAAATTGTTTCTATTAATAGGTCAAGCATAATCGGCATGGAGCCTCAACCATGGTTTCTCAGGATCCGGCCAACAATGGAGCTCTGCTTAGCGACTTCGAAGCAAGTGTGCATTTGGAGCAAGACCGGGTAAGCTCTTCGATTTGAGCATCCAGATGAGGCCAGTACACGTAGCTTCTGGCCAACGCCTTCATACGGTTTATTCCCGGGTGTCCGGTGTGGAACTGCTTGTGAAGTCGGCTGGAGTTTTTTTGGAACTACTACTCGTTCTGCTAAGAGTAGACAAACGTCGACAATCGACAGGGAATTGCGACGTTGATTAAACTGCTTCAGTTCACTGTCTTCAATCTTCTTTGGCCATTTCGATCTGTGGAAGCGGATCATTTGCTGGAGCAGGGGATCATGTGAAGTTGCTATACGTATCTGAGAAGCTGTTACTGGGATGGCTTTAATTGCATCTGTGACAACACAACGAACTTCATGTTTGATCGTGATGCTTGCCACTAAAAAGTTCTCCGGTTCTTGTCGATCTTTGTCCATGAGGCGTGATATATCATCGGCCTGACCAATGTTCCCAGTCAATTGCTACTTGATGACGAAATCATATCCTAAAAACATTGTAGCCCACCTCTGAAGGCGATTTGCTGAGTACACGGGAATGCCTTTTTTGGATCCGAAGATAGCAAGTAGGGGCTTGTGATCCGTGACCAGAGTAGAATGACGGCCATAAAGCATTTTGTGAAATGTTTTAATGGCGTAGATGATCGCCAATGCCTCTTTATCAATTTGACTGAACTTACGTTTCACGGGCGTCAACGATCGGGCGGTGTGAGCAGTTGCCTTCTCAGTTCCGTCAGGAAAGCGGTGAGACACAACTGCGCCGACTCTGTAATTAGACGCATCTGTAGCAACAACAATATCCAGGTTCGGATCGTAATGAGTCAACAGCAAATCTGATGATAGCATGATTTTGATCCT